AAGAAGAAGAAGAAGAAGAAGAAGAAACGAAAGGATTTATTTCACATAGGAGAAGAGAAGGATACTCGGAACTCCTGAAGGCGTACGTTATTAGCATAATCATAAATTATATAACAGCATTAAGCCGCGATGATCTCTTTCTGTTTTGAATCGATTTTAGATTTTAGAAGAACGACAAGCCGGAAGTTTCGGCCTTCTCCTTATCTAATCTTAAAGATCCATACATTATATTGGAATAGAGAATCGTTAAGAATATAATGTTGCATAGATCTCGACGATACGGTGCACACACGTACGCGCGGCGATCATACGCGCCTTGATTCCATCGCCACAGTGTTCTAAATGAGACGTGATCTTACTTTCATGCATCAAGGCCGCTCTAAGAGCACGGAAACGGAGTGGCACTTGCTCTGCGTCAGGACGTTACGCGCGTAATCCACGCGGTTCGCGAATTAGCCAGTCCTATAAACCGGTCTACACCTATTTTTCTATAGGTACTTTTTTTTCTTGTTTTTTTTTCTCTCTCTCTCTTCTCGTTAAATGGAAGTTTGCGTCAAATGGAAGGGAGGTCTACACGTGTAAATGACATTCGACGAATATGTACAAATGAAGCAATAGAATATAATGTTATTGACTAAGATTTGGTTCGATTAAATGGAATTCATGCAAACGGAATTCTACTGTGCCGCAATATGGAAAAGTTTCGAGCGACTTTCAAGGGACAAATTGATCAAATGAGTCCAATTTTATTTTCATTATTCATCATCATTCTCTCAATTTTATTTCTATTATTCATTGTCATTTTCTGAATTTTATTTTTATTGTGAACACGAGTGTCTTTGTTTCTCACCAAAAACAATTGGTGTCATGAGTTTGTTACATTTCTGTAAACCTTCTGTTTAAATTTCTGTTGCACCTCATCATTGATAATGCAAGGTTCAGTTATAAAAGTCGAAGCTCACAGATTTGTGTATTTTTGAAAGATACATCGTCTGAAACAATTAGAGGGTTGTTTTCGTGTCACTTTGATTTTTGTATCCACTTCTTGTATCGTACATATTTTTAAGTAGTATCGCACGAAAATCCAGTTTATGCAACAGAATCATTCATAGCAACGATCCTCCAATTAATTGCACATCTCAATTCTGATATTATATGTCTTATATCATATGTTTTCTCGAAGTCTCGATTTTCATAATTTATCAGAAATAACATTTCTATTTAAAACTAGCTAATTCTAATGTTTGAAGGTATCTAATATTAATTTCGAATATTTTGTCTTCCTTTCTTTTTCTTTTCATTAAATCGACTATAAGTCATGCAAAAATCTGTATGACACGCGAGATACTTGACATTCTTAGCAAATGTTAATAACAACACGTGTCACAAGAGTTATTCTTACAAAATATATTAGAGAGTATGTGAACTATTGAACAAAACGAGAATCGTTGGCCAGAAAATTCCCAGCGAGAAATGTTAATTTCTTAAATGTTTTCGCATATGTACAAAGGTACATACTTATCATTGGAGATCATTTTAATATTAGGCTAGAGTTATATAGATAGATAGATAAATAGATATGTACGTTTAACATTGATGTATCTTTTCAGTAATTCAAGTATCTTCTCGAACACTGTACTCAAGCTCTAAGATATTTTACTTATGTAACTGGGTACAAAAAAAAAAAAATCGATCATGACACAAACGATATTATTCGATGCAAGATCTTGTATTATTCCGTCTCCACACGGGCGATTGAAGAACTTTCCACATGTTACTTGACAGCACATCAACTCTCATGGAAACGTACAAGCGTAGCGCAATAATTCTGATTATGGTTCTTATTAATTTTTCCTCTCGTCACGTTTCCAGGTAAATGCAATTTTCAATTAGTCTCGAATGTTCGTGAACGTAGTTAAATAGGTGGCACAGGCGTATCTCGCGGTTACAACTTTACTTTACTAAGTAAATATATTAATTTGCGTCAATAGTCAACAAGTATCGCGTCACTGTCGCAATGATCCTGTTTCCTGTGAACAAGGACCGGTTTCCCCATTATTTTCCCCATCGTATGACGTTCATGTTTTTACCATGGACTTTCCTCGATAGCCGAACGATCGAAAAATAAGAAAATCCAACAGACATCCTTAGAGGAAAGATTTGGATATAGTTAAAAGAAAAGAAAGAGAAATAATAGAAAGATTCGATCTGTTAATAAGACGTTCTTGGAAGAAAAATCTGTTCGGATTAAATAACATGGTTTCGCGAGTATGCA